CATAAACCAGGCCAAGGTTTTACAACTTCTTGTGGCACCATTCACATAGAATAAAATGGGGCTGTGCAATGTGGCAGCCCTGCCAAATATCTCAAACTCAACAGGTCCAAAAACAAACTCAGAATCACTTGATTATTATGCTTCGTCAGCTTCCTCTTCCAGTGATCTCACTTCTGTTAATGGTATGTTAAGGGTCATGTTTTTGGTCAGTTTTCCAGGTTTAGTCAGCTACTTTAAAAACTATGTCCTTAATTTTTTCACATTAATAGTCAAATTGTGTACCATTTAACATGTTTTATTTCAATAAACCACTAGTTCTCTTAATCCTTTTTAGACCTCAAAAAAATTATTAAAAACTTAAAAATATCTGATTTATGTTATCCAAGGAAATAGAACCGTGAAGAGTAATTCATACTATTTTAGATTTTATATTAATTATAAATTTTAATAGCTGATCAACTGTTAAATACAGTATATGTTTGATAGTAAATAGACCTAAGTCAACTAATCTAAAATGACTGAAAATATTGATTAGCAAGTTTATAGTTAGTCCACTTGTTTACAAGGAAATCTGTTATAAGTAAAACATAATAGAGCTGGGTTCTAGTAAATTATGCATGCTGTATCTGGTTATTTTCATACAACTTAAATCATGGTGAAGAATCATAGTTAACTGAATTTCAAAAAGATGGTATTTAAAATCACTGTATGACTAAAAGCACACTAAAGTAAATGGTAAAAGTACAACCTTTATGATTCAGAACTTCAGAATAATGGCAATGCTTAATGATTAATTTCAGTTCTTTCTTGTAAACTCTAGATTTGAGATGTTTGGTGAATCTTGAGTCCTGAGTCTTAGAATTTCCATGCATTTTAAAAATATGTCTTCAAAGTGTCTAGGAATATGTTGATAGTTACTCAAATATTGAACTAAAATCTTGGTTTAAAATTCTTAATCAGTCAGTTATTACTCAAAGACATAGACACTATCTTCCTGATTTTTTGAAGAAAGCTCAAAAAGCTGGTTTTCAGAATGCCTACATTTCTTAATCTGGATATTTTGTCATTAAGAGTTATGCAAATAGAAATGACACACCAAGATATACAGAATTATTGTTATTTTCTAAAGTTGGCTCTCAAAGTGAAAAAAAAAAAAAAAACCCAGAATTTTCTAAAGGAACATATACTAGAATTTGTGTATTAATTTCAAGGTTTATTTCAATTTAGTCCTTGTTTTACTATGCAATATATATTTATGATTTGCAAGTTTGCTATTCAACTGGGTAATAAATGGGCTCTTAAACACAAAATTAATGTTCTCAAAAGAGTATTTTTTTGTGAAATATGTCACATTAAAAACTGATTTAAATTTATATTAGCAGTTTTTTTTCAATTTATATTAGCAATCACATTTTTATGCCTCTTAAAGAGACTATGGATATGAGACATAGTGAAAAAAACAAACCTGTTGCTGTCCAGTCGATTCCAACTCATAGCCACCCTATAGGACAGAGTAGAACTGCCCCATAGGGTTTCCAAGGCTGAAATCTTTATGGCTGCCAGGTCTTTCTCCTGTGGAGCAGCTGGTGAGTTTGAACCACCGACCTTTTGTTAGCAGTGATCGCTTTCACCATTGCTTCACCAGGGCTCCTTTTGCATATGCGATATATTTGAAGGCAAGTACAAATGGAATCTAGAAATTACCTTTTGGAGTTCTTGGTAAAGTCTGAATCTCATGTTCCTTATCTGTAAAATGAGCTGTCTATTTCACTGAGTTATTGGGGAAAATTACAGAATGTTCTGAGAGGACTTGTTAAAAAAACTTCCAAAACATAATTTTCACTGATATCCTAGTATTCTATTGCATGGCTATGCCATAATTTAATCAATTTATTTTTTTAACTTTCAGGTGGTTCTAAGCTCTTTCTTATTAAATATAACCCCATAACAAATACCTTGTAGTTTAAGTCTTTGCACACAGGTCTGATTATTTTTTTGTGGTAAATTAACAGAAATGGAAGTACTGGGTAAAAGTATATGTATATATGTTGTTGTTGTTGTTAGGTGCCGTTGAGTCAGTTCCGACTCACAGGGAACCTTTGTACTAGAGAACAAAACACTGACTGGTCCTGCACCATTCTTACAATCATTGTTATGCTTGAGCCCATTGTTGCAGCCACTGTGTCAATCCATTGTATTGAGGGTCTTCCTCTTTTCTGCTGACCCTCTACTTTACCAAGCATGATGTCCTTCTCTAGGGACTGGTCCCTCCTGATAACATGTCCAAAGTATGTGAGACAAAGTCTTGCCATCCTTGCTTCTAACGAGCTTTCTGGTTGTACTTCTTCCAAAACAGAGCTGTTCATTCTTCTGGCAGTCCATGGTATATTCAATATTTTTTGCCAACACCATAATTCAAAGGCTTCAATTCTTCTTTAGTCTTCCTTATTCATTGTCCAGCTTTCACATGCATATGAAGCAATTGAAAATACCATGGCTTGTATCAGGTGCGTTGTTATGGATTGAATTGTGTCCCCACAAAATACATGTCAACTTGGCTAGGCCATGATTCCCAGTATTGTGTGATGGTCCACTATTTTGTCATCTGATGTGATTTTCCTATGTGTTATAAACCCTACCTCTATGATGTTAATGAGGTGGGATTAGCAGCAGTTATGTTAATAAGGCAGGACTCAATCTACGAGATTAGGTTGTGTTTTAAATCAATCTCTTTTGAGATATATAAAAGAGAGAAGTGAGCAGAGAGACAGGGGGACCTCACATCACCAAGAAATAAGAGCCAGGAGAATAGCACATCCCTGTGCTGAGAAGCTCCTTGACCAGGGAAGACTGATGACAAGGACCTTCCCCTAGAGCCGACAGAGAGACAAAGACTTCTGCTGGAGCTAGCACCCTGGATTTGGACTTCTAGCCTCCTAGACTGTGAGAGAATAAATTTCTCTCTGTTAAAGCCATCCATTTGTGGTATTTCTGTTATAGCAGCACTAGATAACTAAGATATGCACCTTAGTCCTTAAAGTGACATCTTTACTTTTTAACACTTTAAAGAGGTCTTTTCGCAGCAGATTCGCCCAATACAATGTGTTGTTTGATTTATTGACTGCTACTTCCATGGGCGTTGATTGTGGATCCAAGTACAATGAAATCCTTTACAACTTCAGTAATTTCTCCGTTTATCATGATATTGCTTATTGGTCCAGTTGTGACGATTTCTGTTTTCTTTATGTTGAGGTGTAATCCATACTGAAGGCTGTGGTCTTTGATCTTCATCTGTAAGTGCTTCAAGTCCTCTTCACTTTCAGCAAGGAAGGTTGTGTCATCTGCATATCGCAGGTTGTTAATGAATTTTCCTCCAATCCTGATGCTGTGTTATTCTTTGTATAGTCCAGCTTCTTGGATTATTTGCTCAGCATATAGACTGAATAAATATGGTGAAAGGATACAACCCTGACACACACTTTTCTTAACTTTAAACCATGCAGCATTCCCTTGTTCTGTTCAAATGACAGCCTCTTGGTCTAAGTACAGGTTCCTCATGAGCACAATTAAGTGTTCTGGAATTCCCATTCTTCACAATGTTATCCATAATTTGTCATGATCCACACAGTCGAATGCCTTTGCATAGTCAATAAAACTCAGGTAAACATCTTTCTGGTATTCTCTGCTTTCAGCCAAGATTCGTCTAACATCAGCAATGATACCCCTCATTCCATGTCCTCTTCTGAATCTGGCTTGAATTTCTGGCAGTTTCCTGTTGATGTACTGCTGCAACTGTTTTTGAATGATCTTCAGCAAAATTTTACTTGTGTATAATATTGATGATATTTGATAATTTCCACCTATATATATGTGTATGTATATATGTATATATATGCACCCACATATATATGTTGTTAGGTGCTGTAGAGTTGCTTTCAACTCATAGCGACCCTGTCTACAACTGAACAAAACACTGTGGGTCCTGGCCATCCTCACAATCGTTGCTATGTTTGAGTACATTGTTGCAGCCACTGTGTCAATCCATATCCTTGAGGGTCTTTAAGAACATATTCATATTTTTAACGTACATTGCCATTTTTTTTTGAGGAAAACTGTACTTAACTCCCACCAGAAGTACATGAGGATATCTGATAAAAGCCATTTTATATGAAATTCTTTGTTGGGTCAAAAGTATACAGTACTGATTATCCAAGTTACGGAAGGGCCATCCATGCCCAGAGCGCTGAAAGTAAGAAGCTGCCCAGGTGGGAATCGATGAGAACCATCTCCTCAGTTCAGCCTCCCAAGGTGTGAGCTGTCTCTCCTTGCCAACACCAATGATCTAAGACACCACACTCGCCTACCAGGAAACTCCCTCAGATTTTGCAAACCCATACATCAAAGCAAGCTCAAAGACAGTTCCGCCTAAGACACTGGGGCAAGATCCTTTCCACCGACTCCCAGGCTTAATTCTTCCCCATCAAATGGCAATATAATCTCTGCCCTGTCAGCCCACAGGAGAGATAAAAACGTGAAAGAGCTTTGTGAGATGTTGAGCGTAATGCACCTGTGTGGAATTATTATTACTAAAAACAAACAAGAGTGCCGGGGGAGGGAGAAAGAGGCACAGCCGCCAAGCGACAGGAGGCCGGGGGCGGGGACGCTCCGGGCGCTGCCGGGCTGGGAGACTCGGAGGCGGCTGCCCAGGGCCCCGCCGGCGCCTGCCTCGTGGAGGCCCGAGGGCGCCGCTGGCGCGCCCCCAGTGACACCACACGCGCGGTCACCTGGCTAGGCCGCAGCCCTCCCTCTTCTCCCCTCCTCCCTCCTCTCCCCTCCTCCCTCCTCTCCCCTCCTCCCCTTCCCTTTCCTCCGATAGTCCCCTCCCCTCCTGTTCGCGGGCTGCCCCCACTTTCGCCGTCGGCTCCCTGCTTCCAACAAACCCCGCCCCCGGCCCCGCCCCCCGTCGGCCCCTCCCGGAAGCGCCGGCGGAGCGTCGTCGCATGGAGCGCGAGAGGTGCGCCTCGGGGGCAGCATCCGCCGCACTCTTCGCCTGGGTACGTGACTCCGCCCCCGGTCCGGGGCCGCTAGAACTGACGGGTGCGGGGGACGCAGGGAACTCAGGGCTTCGGTGTGGGCAGAACTGGGGTCAGGGAGGCCAGTGTCCGAATTGGGCTCTGGGTTGGAGGATCCTGGGCTGGGGGCTGAGGGTGACAAGGCCGGGAGGGAAGGGTCTCCCCGGGGTGACTTAGGAGCCTGCCAGCTGGTCTGGACCCGAGGGGCTGAGACGCAGTGGGAGGAACCTGCCTCCAGGGCAGAGCCTCTGCTTCCGTGAGAATCTCAGCGCCTGGGAAAGACAGCGTGGAGGGCTCCGTGGAGAAGGATCGCCTGTCTCACAGCCTTGTGGGAGCCACCTGTGCTCCCCACGTTCCTACTGCCTGGATGATGGAGGCTCTTCCCCAGTCCCACCCCAGCCTGAAGGGAGCATCCTTTGGATGTGAGGCCTGTGGTGCTTGGCCGTGCACAAAGCAGAGACGCTGCATATTTGCTGATACTCTGCTGTGAACAGATCTTGCCTGTACTGGGGATGTGGGAGTCTGGGCTGTGTTGGTTTTCTTGGAGCACTGAGAGAGACAGGGTGATCTTTATGTGTTGTGGCTGGGGGAGTTTGTGCACAGGCGTGTGTAGCAGGCATCCAACCAGCATGCACAAGTACAAGCAGACATAGTGTCCTGTAAGTTCTTCATAGCACTTAACCACAATTGTGATGACATGTATAATTTGTTAATGTCAGTCTCCCTGAGTTTAATGTGAGCGTCATAAGGGTGGGAGCTGTGCTTGTCTTGAGTACTGTGTCTTGCTTGGTGCCTAGCACATTGTAGGTGCTCAGCAGGTATTCATTGACGAATAAATCGATCAGTACCTGCTGTGTGCCCAGACTTGTGCTGATCTTTTGGGAAATAGACAAGAGTGAAAGACTTCCAGCTCTCCTACTGGGGGAGAAGGAGTAACACCTATATTGCTGTTAACAGCAAGTTTATTGAGTGATCAAAAAAAAAGAAGATAATTAGCAGTACAAGGCAGCACTTGTTGACTGTAAGGCTGCAGGCTGATAAAAGGGAGGGCTCCGTGGCCTGAGGCAGCGTGGGTATCTGAGCATCTTTGAGGTGGCGCTTGAGCTGAGGGTGGAGTTGGGGATTGAATATGTACCTGGGGGTAGGTAGGAGGTGCTGTCTCCAGCTTTTCCCAGCTGGGAGAGTGGGTCTTGTGTGGACAGAGGAGACATCTGACAGAAAAAGCCTTTCAGATGTCTTGTCTGGACTGAAACAAATATTGTTGAGCCACTGCTGGGTTTAGGGGCCTGATGATGTGTTCTTCTGCTGCATGATCTGTGTGGAGGACATTTACCTTCTTGGGTGTGTGTGTCTGTGTGTAGTGTGTTGTGTCTGGAGTGTTTGTAAAGGAGGGAAGCAAATACAGCTGTAATAAGTTGTATTACATTTTCTTTTGTTTTGCTTCAACCTGGATTTAGGGGCCTCACAGAAATTAGGCTGCATTACAGAAATTGGGTACCATAATTTGAATCCCAGAGTGTTGATGTCTCACTTATTTCCCTCCAGGTGTTTGTTGTTGTTGTGTGCATCAACTGGATTCCGACTCATAGCAACCCTATAGAACAGAGTAGAATTGCCCTGTATTTCCTAGGCTGAAATCTTTATGGAAGCAGATCACCAGGTCTTTTCTCCTGTGGAGCAGCTGGTGAGTTCGAACCACTGCCCTTTTGGTTAGCAGCTGAGCACTTAACTGTTGCGCTACCAGTGCTCCTTCCCAGATGTTTAGCAGCCTGTAAACCTGGTAATAGGGCAGCCCGAGAGATCTCAGGGCTGCTGGAGGCCTGGTAGAAATCCCGTGCTTATGCACTGCGCTCCACACTGTGGAACAGGCTTTCATTTGATCTTCGCAAGGCAGGGACTCACAGGGTCTTACATTCATTCACCATGTAAATATGCATGCACCTTCTCTGGGCTAACACAGTTCCAGGTGCAGGAGAAATAGCAGCGAGCCAAACAAAGTTCGTTCCCTCATGGAGTTTACTTTCCAGTGGGGGAGGTAGACATGAGACAAGTAAACAAATATATAATGTAATGTCAGGGAATGATAAGTGCTATAAAGAAAAATAAAGCAGAAAAAGAGGGTAAGTGATGGGTGTGCTTTTTAGATAGGGTTAGCTTCCTTCCAGGTAAGCTCTGGGCTAGTTCACCTATATATCCTTTTTTCCCTTAGAGATAGTATGATTTAGTGAAAGGGTCTAGGCATTTTAACTTGCTGTCTGCCAGCTGTGTGACTGTGGAAAGTTACTTCATCTCTCTGGGCCTTAGTTTCTTCATCTTTAAAGTGGGAGTGATAATACCCATCTCCCAGGTTGTTGTGAGAATTCAATGAGAGTGTCCAGTACACTGGGAAGACCTCAGTTATTGGTAGCTGACATGACCCTCGGGGGGCTTCTGGGATCTGTGCCCCTGCCATGGCTTGCCCCTCCAGACTGGCTGTGTAATAGCCTATGGGGGGCAAGATTTTGTTTCTATGTATGTGTTTTTATCGTTGTTTTAAATCACTTTCCCTCATTCAGCAACAGTCAGGAGGTAGATACTTAATTATATAGGTTTCTGAAATTTTAAAAAGATTCCCTGCAGGTCCACAATCCTTTATCTTCACTTCTAAATACAGAAAGCTCTGAAAACCCAAAACTGACCGCATATAAGGCTATTTATAGTCTGCCCACTTATTGTGAGTATTTGTACCTTTTGTTGCAGAAATATTACTGTTTTGCTATGGGGTACTGTACCAGACCTTGCAGTGGTATTCCATAATACATAATATATACACAGTATTACCTTTCTAAAATCTATAAAATTACAAATCTCAAATACATCTGGCCACAGGGATTCGGATTAGGGATTATGGACCTATATCACAAAAATAGCAATAGACATATTGCCCACCAACGTGAGATCTGTTCCCTTACGGGAATATCGTTGTCTGAATCTTGGAGTCACAAAACATTGTACTTGGAAAGACCCTGAGAGATCATTGCCAACTTCTTTCACTGTATAGATCAAAAAACAGCAAAATGCCCTGCTTAAGGGCACCGAATTCTTGGATAGCTTTGATTACAGAAAGTTTTTGGCAGTTCTCCAGTGATGGGTGTGGGGAGAAGGGACAAGAACTCATCCTAATGAATTTATTTCCCACCCACTGTGTTCCCATTTCCCCCTCATTTTTTTCCTTAGCCTCCCAGGTCTTTAGCTGTTATAAGAAGGAACTCCGTGCTGCCCCCAAAGGCAACACTAGGGGCTGGGGCAATGGAAAGGGAAAGGAGTATCATCAGGGAAGTAGTGGATGCTAAGATCTGCTCTCATGAGGAAATCTCGTGGTGTTCTGGGGATGGGGCTGGAGTTTAGCATGGATTGCATGTAATAACCTTTTAAGAATGTTGTTGTTGGGTGCCACTGAATTGATTCTGACTCTTAGCAACCCTATAGGGCAGAGTAGAACTACCCCATAGGGTTTCCTAGACTGTAATCTTTACTGGAACAGATTGCCTGGTGTTTTCTGTCGAGGAGCCACTGGTGGGTTCAAACCACTCTTTTCGGTTAGCAGCCGAGTGCTTAACCATTTCGAAATCTCATTTGTTATAGACTCTAAGAGGTATTCAGAGAAATATCGGGATGGGTAAGAAAACATTGACTGCTGTGGTTCCCATACTCTTTTATCTTTGGTTTATTTTATCCCTAGGGTGCAAATAGCTATGGGCAACTTGGCCTGGGCCATAAGGAGGATGTGCTTTTGCCTCAGCAACTGAATGACTTCTGTGAACCTGGGTGTGTCAGGAGGATCACAGGAGGTGGGGGCCACTCTGCCGTTGTCACAGGTAACTTCTTTCAAGAGTAGATACGTGCTCATTTTCTTATTTAGATGTTTTCCCCTAGGATGTTACGACCATCTTTCAGCCTTTTGTATTTTAAGGAGAAAACAATTTTTTTGTGAAACAACCATGTTGTCCTCAGAGAATCCTAGATTGTCTGAGATAGAAGGACCTTAGAGATCTTCTAGGGCATCCTCATACAAATGAGGGTCAGAGAGGAAAACTTTTAATTTATGATCATGAGGCAGATAAGTAGAGTTGCAACACGTGTCACATTTTATGCTGTATATTGCTATTTAAAGGAGTCCTGGTGGTGCAACAGTTAAGCACTTGGCAGCTAACTGAAAAGTTGACAGTTCCAACCCACCCAGCCACTGCACAGAAGAAAGACCTGGCAATCTGCTCCCATAAAAATTACAGCCTAGAAAATCCCATAGTCTTGGGGGACATCTAGGTCAATCGGCATAACATAGTTTTTACAGAAAATGTTCTTCATCCCACTTTGGTAATACGTGTCTGGGGTCTTAAAAGCTTGTGAGTGGCCATGTAAGATACATCTGTTGGTCCCATCCCACCTGGAGCAAAGGAGAATTAAGAAAACCAAAGACACAAGGAAAATACTAGCCCAGAGGACTAAGGGACCACATGAACCAGAGATTCCACCAGCCTGAGACCAGAAGAACTAGATGGTGCCCGGCTACCACCAGTGACCGCCCTAACAGGGAACACAACAGAGAGTTCCGGACAAAGCAGGAGAATAATGTAGAACAGAATTCAAATTCATGTAAAAAGACCAGACTTAATGGTCTGACAGAGACTGGAAGAACCCGCAAAACTATGGCCCCCAGATGCTCTGCTAACCTAGAACTGAAACCATTCCCAAAGTCCACTTTTCAGAAAAGATTAGACAGGCCTATAAAACAAAAAATAATACACATGAGGAACGTGCTTCTTAGTTTAATCAAATATATGAGACCAAATGGGCAGCTCCTGTCCAAAAGTAGGACAAGAAGGCAGGAAAGGACATGAGGTGGATGAATGGATACAGGGAACCTGGGGTGGAAAGGGGGAGCATGCTGTCACATTGTGGGGATTACAACCAATGTCACAAAACAATATGTGTATAAATTTTTGAATGAGAAATTAACTTGGGCTGTAAACTTTCACCTAAAGCATAATTTAAAAAAAAGAAAAAGAAGAGGGGGAAAAAAAAACCCCATGGGGCAGTTCTGCTCTGTCACATGGGGTTGCTATGAGTCAAGGGCACCTTACAACAACATTTGCTATTTAACTTTCACATGGGAGTTGGAAGTCTTTGCAATTAGGTTGAATATTCCTTAAGAGCAAGAACTTATATATTTTTCATTTTTCCTCAGAGTACCTAGGGTAGTACTTAACAAGTACTATAAGTGCTATGATATTGTAGAGGAGGGCATATTGCATCCTGGTTAAGAACAGGAGCTCTGGAATCAAACTGCTTGGGTTCAGATCCTAGTTCTGTGATCTATTAGCTGTGTGGCCTTGGGCAGGTTACTTAATTTCTTTGTGCCACAGTTTCTTTACCTGTAACGTGGGGATAATAATGGTGGATGAGGATACTCCGTGAGTTAATAGGGCCACATTATGATTTACGTGGGCCCTTGGAACTTTTGCCTTCGTGGACCCCTTCCTCCATAAAGAAATATTAAAAATTATATTTCATAACTGCATTGGTATAAAGATGAATATAATCCAGGCTGCATTTATTATTCTATATTCATTATTATTATATTTTTCATCTTAAATTAAAATGAAAACATTTTCGTGGGCTTCTAAAAGTATTGTGGGCCCTGGGCACTGTGCCTACTATGCCTAAAAGAAGTTGGCCTTGTACTTAAAGCTCTTAGAACAGTACCTGGCACATTCTAAGTGCTCAATAAATGTTGGCTTTTATTGTTACAGTAGACGCTCAGTTTGATGATTGATTGGCTACTACTCAGGACTTATAGTTTCCATTTAGATATTAGATTTGAGCCCCTGGGCCTGTGCCATTTGGTTCCAGAGCACATAATCATACATGGCTTATTAACTTGAGTTGGAAAAAAAGTTACTGGTCTATGATTCCAAATAAGGAGTGACATCTTTTTGCTGGCTCTGGCAGTTGTAATTTCCCCTGTGCACACTATCACCAAGGCGTTTATGTTTTGCAGATGGAGGAGGTCTTTTCGTTTGTGGCCTGAATAAAGATGGGCAACTGGGACTTGGTCATACAGAGAATGTTTTGTATTTTACCCCCTGCACATCACTCCTTGGCTGTCCCATCCAACAGGTGGCCTGTGGCTGGGATTTTACCATTATACTCACAGGTGAGTTCACACCCAGGTAAATCTGTATCACCATGAAGGCTTTGGGTAAGAAGAACATGATGGTGGTGACAGTGATTAAATGAAAGCCTCTTTATGTTTAAAGTGCACAAATGATCTCTCTGGTTGTCAAGCAAAATTGTGGGATGCCTTTTGCAAGGAGAATTTTAACAGTAAAGGAGATTGGGCTGGAGAACTTTTGCCAGAGACTGGGGGATGGACTAAATCACCTTTGGTGGCCTTTTCCTGTCCCAAAAGTTCACGAGAGCGATATGCCTTGGTTAGCTGACCAGTAGTGCTAGTTACGGGTTACTCTGGAAAATGTGGTGGGGAAGTATGGCAAATTAGAGGTTGCTACAGCAGTGATGGCAGCTTATTCCCAGTGAGGGATTATTTTCTTAATAATACAGTTGGGCAGAACTATTTGGTCTTTATGAAGCCAGATAGCAGATAGGATAAAGAAGAATGTGGTCAAAGGGTTAATAGAATAAATGCCCTTGGAAGTGGCTGAGGAGTCTACAACAATAGTTATTTGTCAGCTCCCTTCTCCATTGAAGCAGTTTTAGCCTCTCTACCTGGCTTCACCCTGTCTTGCTGGACATTCTGGATTTAAAAGACCATTTATGGTTTCTGACCAGGCTCCTTCTTTGTTACAGTTCTCTGGCAAGGGCATCATTTGATCATGTCACTCCCCTGTTTCAAACCTGTGTAGTTTCTCATGTGCATAACTCAAATTCCAAGCTTTTTAACATGTGGCTTTCTATTACTGTACCTTATCTACCTCTCTTGCCTTATTTCTTATTCCTCACAACCCCCATACATTTCTCTCTAGGAACACCAAACTACTAATCAAATTCTTATGCCTCTCTGCGTTTACACATGCTGTTCCTTCTGTCTGGAATGGCCTTTTTTTTTTTTCCCCATACAAAAATTTATACATACACTGATATGTGACTCTAATTGCTCTCCCCATACTGTGACAGCATACTCCTCCTTTCCACCCCTGATTCCCCATGTCCATTCAACCAGCTCCTAACCCTGTCTGCCTTCCCATCTCACCTCCAGACAGAAGCTGCCCATTTAGTCTCTTGTATCTACTTGAGCTAAGAGGCACACCCCTCATGAGTATCACTTTATGTCCCACAGTCTGGTCCAATCCCTGTCTGAAGAGTTGGCCTTGGAAATTATTTTAATTCTGGGCTGATAGAGAATCCTGGGGCCATGCTTTCCGGGGTACCTCCAGTCTCAGTCAGACCGTTAAGTCTAGTCTTCTTGCTAGAATTTGAGTTCTGCACCCCAGCTTTCTCCATCTTCATCTGGGACTCTGTTGTGTTGCCTGTCAGGGCGGTCATTGGTGGTAGCCAGGCACCGTCTAGTTCTTCTGGTCTCAGGCTGATGAAATCTCTGGTTTATGTGGCCCTTTCTGTCTCTTGGGCTAATACTTCCCTTGTGTCTTTGGTGTTCTTCATTCTCCTTTACTCCAGGTGGTTGGGACCAACTGACGCATCTTAGATGGCCGCTTGCAAGCTTTTAAGACTCCAGACGCCACTCACCAAAGTAGGATGCAGAACGTTTTCTTAATAAGCTTTATTATGCCAATTGACCTAGATGTCCCCTGAAAGCATGGTCCCCAGACCCCTACCCCTGCTACTCTGTCCCTCTAAGTGTTTGATTGTATTCAGGAAACTTCTTAGCTTTGGTTTAGTCCAGTTGTGCTGACTTCCCCTGAAGTATGTGCTGTCCTTCCCTTCACCTAAGATAATTCTTATCTACTATCTAGTTAGTAAATAACCCTCACCCTCCCTCCCCACCCTCGTAACCATGAAAGAATGTTTTCTTCTGTGTTTAAACCTTTTCTTGAGTTCTTAGAATAGTGGTCTTAGGCAATATTTGTCCCTCTGTGACTGACTAAATTCACTCAGCATAATGCCCTCCAGCTTCCTCCTTGTTATAAGATGTTTCATGGCTTCATGGTTGTTCTTCATCATTGCGTAGTATTCCATTGTGTGGATATACCATAATTTGTTTATGCATTCATCTGTTGATGGGCACCTAGGTTGTTTCCATCTTTTTGCTATTGTGAACAGTGCTGCAGTGAACATGGGTGTGCATATATCTATTCATGTGACGGCTCTTATTTCTCTAGGATATATTCCAAGGAGTGGGATAACTAGATCGTATGGTACTTCTATTTCTAGCTTTTTAAGGAAGCGCCAAATCGATTTCCCAAGTGGTTGTACCATTTTACATTCCCACCAACAGTGTATTAGTGTTCCAGTCTCTCCACAACCTCTCCAGCATTTATTATTTTGTGTTTTTTGGATTAATGCTAGCCTTGTTGGGGTGAGGTGATATCTCATTGTAGGTTTGATCTGCATTTCTATAATGGCTAATGATTGTGAGCATTTCTTCATGTGTCTGTTAGCCGCCTGAATACCTTCTTTGGCAAAGTGCCTGTGCATATCCTTTGCCCATTTTTTAATTGGGTTGTCTTTTTGCTGTTGAGGTTGGAATGGCCTTTCTTGTCTCTGCTCAGCTGTCACCATCTCTCTTCTGCAGAGGTGTTCTGTAATGTGTGTCAAATTTGATAACAATTATTAGAATCTAAATAATAGCTATCATTTATGAAGAGCTTATTATGTGCCTGTGTTGGAGTTGTAGAGAGTCTGTAGATAACATTCTCTTTCCTGCCCACATTTAGAACTAATTGCGAGAAAGGCTCAGAGCCTTGGAGATCTGATAATAGCTAAGTTGGAGGACACGGTTAATTGTGAGGCCAACTGGTTCTGCTAACACTCCCCGCATTCAAACTCGCTCCCCAAACTCTAGGCCTTCCCTGCAGGGGATATCCTTATTGTGTGTCAGCCCGGAATGCCTGCTCTGTAGAGGCAGATCCAAAATGAGGAGAGAGAAACATGCCAAGCCACACGTATCCTGTTCCTTACTCCAAACTCACTAATTGGTTAGGTTACTCTTCACTTAGAAAGCAGTGAGTATCAGGAAGGGAGGGAGAAAGGCTAGGAGTGCTACAGTAATGGAAATTCAACTACACGGAACCATGAAAAGTGAGGAATAAGTATCCTCCCGTTCCAACGCTAGGCACTGCACTAAGTGTTTACAGAGAATATGGTTTGAATGCCCTGAAACACAGGCCCACCACTACCTTATGTCATTTCTTTTCCTCCTCTCATCCTTCAGCATTTACTCATTGGTCAAAGATATCTTACCTCATAGATTTACAATTTAAGTAATTGTATTTTGCAGAAGGTGGTCAAGTTCTATCATGTGGATCCAACTTGTTTGGCCAATTAGGAGTTCCTCATGGGCCTCGAAGATGTGTGGTTCCCCAGGTCATTGAGGTAAGGATAAAACTCATAAAAACCCATTGCTGTCGAATCAATTCCAGCTCACGGTGTCCCTATAGGACAGGGTAGAACTGCCCCATAGAGTTTCTAAGGCTGTAAATCTTTACGGAAACAGACTGCCATATCTTTCTGCCATTCGTGTGACTGGTGGGTTTGAACCACTGACGTTTCGGTTAGCAGCCAAGCAATTAACCACTGTGCCACCGGTGCTCCTGATGTAAAGATACCCAAACCAAAACCCACTGCCGTCAAGTTGATTCCGACTCGCAGCAACCCTGTAGGACAGAGTAGAACTGCCCTCTAGGGTTTCCAAGGCTGTGAATCTTTATGGAAGCAGACTGTCACATCGTTCTTATGTGGAACAGCTGGTGGGTCCAAGCCACAAACCTTTTGGTTAGCAGCTGAGCATTTTAACCACTGTGCCATCAGGGCTTCTGAAGGTAAGGATAGCAACTTACATTTAGCTTGCCTGTGTTCTGTTAAAGTAAGAGCATCTTGATAGAAGCAATGGTATTATCTTTCATGTGAACTGAATTTTAGCATTATCATTGCATTTTCTGGGGTGTTGCAGTTATCCTCCCCGGACTAAAAGGCTTAGTCCCAGAAAACCAATGAGGTAGGAGAATTTGAATTGAAAAACTTAGGTCTTTCTGGGAGAAATCGGGTCGGGGGTTGGATGTCGTGAAGGAACCGTTGGAGAACTTTTCTATTAGTCCTCAAACTTATTTAACATTTTTGTGAAGTAGAATAATAAAGGTAATACATTTCATAAGGATACTAATCACATTTTACAATTCTAAAACTAGTAATAATGGGAACTGTGTTAGAAACAGAAGTGACTTGCCTAAAGACACTAAGCCTTGCAAATGATATAGGCCAGTGCTGCCCAATAGAACTGTAATGTGAGCCACATATCTAATTTAAAATTTTCTAGCAGCCCCATCTAAAAAAGTAAAACAAAAAAACAGGTGAAATAAATTTTTTAAGTAACAACTTAATTGAGATGTAATTCACATACTATAAAATTCTCTCTTACAAAGTGTACAATCCCATGGTTTTTACTATATTCACAGAGATTTGGAGCCATTACAGCCATCTTCTGTATTCTTATGCAAGTAACACGTGCACACAATACATTTTTGCCAGGCACACAAACCCCTTGCTCATTATTTTCCAAGGTGCACTATGCCTGTTATAGGTATGGGTTTGTTATTTGCAAAAAGCATACAGTAATTTTAGAACATTTCCGTCACTACCAAAGGAAACCCTGTACCCATTAGCAGTCAGTCCCCATTCTCACATTCTCCTCAGTCCCTGACGGCCACTAATCTACTTTCTGTCTCTGTGGATTTGCCTATTCTGGGCATTTCATATAAATGGAATCATACAGGATACTGTGGACCTGTAAACAAACAAGCATGATAAAGCCCCATAGGGGCTTTGATTGATGCATTTATAGTCCCTTTAAAAGAGAGAGATTGACCAACTGGAGCCTATTTAGAGGAAAGAAACTGGGATGGTGAGGGAATTTGAAACCGTGTCACCATAAGAGTGATGGCTGATGCAATTGGGGATGTTTGGCCTAAAGAAGAGGTATGTATTACTTATCTATTGCTGTGTAGCAAATTACTGCAAAACTTAGCTTAAAACAGCAAATGTTTATTATCTCTTGCAGTTTCTGAGGGTCAGGAATCTGGGAATAGCTTAGCTGGTCTGTCATGAGGTTGTAGTCAGGGTGTCAGCTGGGGCTACATGCATTCTTCTGAAGGCTTGGCAGGGCTGGAGGATCGACTGTCAAGCTCTCTCATGTGGATGTTGGCAGGAGGCTCAGTTCCTTGCCTGTGGGTCTCTCCATAGAACTGTTCAGACATGGCAGCTGGCTTCCCCCAAGTGTGGTCCAAGAGAGACCACACAGGTAGCCTCAGTGCCTTGTATTACCTTGTCTCTCAGTCATACATCCTTATTGTATTCATTGGAAACAAGTCATTAAGCCCAGTGCACACTCAAGGAGACTGGGAGTGGATTCCGCTCCCCATCTAGAAAGGAGAAGTATCGAAAGAATTTGAGGCTGTGTTTTTAAAGCCACCACATGGAGAGGACATGACAGCTATCTTCAAATATTGGAAAGCGTTGTCAGAAGCTGTAGGCAGACAAGTTTGTCTCCACCAAGAAGATAAATGGAACTGTGCAAAGATGGAACAGACACCTGGGGAGGTGCTGAGCCTTGTGTCACTGGAGCTAGGTATTTGGAAGGGGTTGGATGACTACTTAGGAGGGTTTTTTGGAGGGGTTTTAGCATTGGATGGGGACTGGACTAGATCAGGGGTTGGCAAACTATAGTCCTTGGTAAAGTTATATTGGAACACAGCCACACCCATTCATTTCTGTATTGTCTGTGGCTGCTTTTAGACTACAGTGGCAGTTGAATAGTTGTGACAAAAGTGTCTGGCTGACAAGAGTCTGAAATATTTACTCTCTGGCAAAAACTTTACAGAAAAAGTTTGCCAACCCTGGGCTGGATGACCTTTAAGGTCCCTCCCAGCCCTGAGAGTCATTGTGATATTGTGTTGTAGTTATGCTTTTTTTAAAAAGATTTTTATTTTTGGGATACATATAGAAGTATTTGGAGCTCTGGTGATGCACTGGTTAAGAGCTTGGCTGCTAACCAAGACGTCAGCAGTTTGAATCCACCAGCTGCTTCTTGGAAACTCTACAGGGCAATTCTACTCTGTCCGATAGGAACACTATGAGTCGGAATTGACTAGACGACAGCGGGCTTGGTTTGTTTATAGAAGTATTTATGGGTAAAATGGGGGGAAAAAACCTTTAAAATCAATCAGACACATAATGGAGACCATGCTACATTATATTTGGGCACAAACAACATAAAATTTTGTGGATGGATGATTCTGAAATCTAAATTCTGTGTCCCTTGACAGCTCCTGAGAGAGAAGGTTGTGTGTATTGCTGCTGGACTGAGGCATGCATTAGCTGCTACAGGTGATTATTTTGCTTTTATTTCCTAAATAGGCATGTAATAAGGAGAGACTGAGCTTCAGGAGAAATAAGCTTTAAGGAATAATTCCTTAAAGTGTCCTACTGTGTTGCAGTTCTGATTTAGAAGGAGAGGGCATAAGGCAGAAGTCACGTGGGAAAGCAGGGAGGGAGGAAACGAACTTTTCTGCTTTTTATTATGATCTAGGTTCTCTTGTTTCATTATTTCATTTACTCCTCACAGCCATGCTGTGATGTGAGTTTAATTTTTACATATAAGGAAACTGAAGCCCAGAAAGGTTAAAGCGCTGTTTAAGGTTACACAGAGAATAACGTAGTAAGAGGTTGAACTGGGATCAGAGTCTGGGATGATCTGAATTCCCTAGATTCCAAGGCCCACATTCTTTGCAGTGAACTGGGCTGCCTTCCTAATGGATTTTAATGTTTATTCTGTTTTAAATGTTTAATGCCTATTTAAAAGCTTCAGGTGAGGTAGTCTTCTGTACAATGAGTGGGGTGATGAGATAGGACCAATGGTGCCTGTGTGGTTGGGGGTGGGAGGTGAAGAGGGGAGAGGTGATGTGTGGAAGAGCAGTGACCCTTTTTTCTCTCCTTTCCTCATCTTTCTGCTCTCACTCCTGTTGGGCTGAAGGATAGCACTAACTGTCTGTGGCAGCCGAGGCCCAAGTGCTTGGCGAGTCCAGTTGTAGATTAGACAGAGGAGTGAGGAGGTGAGGAAGAGCCCAGTGTGGCACTGTGCAGATGGTCTCCTGGGAGTTAGCATTGATTATAATTTTTTTTTTTAAATTAAGCTTCTTGAGATAAATATAGATTCACATGCACTTGTAAGAAATATTACCGAGAGATCCCTATGCCCCTTTCCCCAGTTTCCTCTAATGGTAGCATCTTAAAAAACTATAGTGCAATATCACAAGCAGGATATTGACATTGATAGAGTCAAGAACACTTTCATCACTACAAGGATCCCTCCTGTTGCCCTTTTGTAGCCACACCCACTTCCCTCCCATCCCCTTCTTAAACCAGACCATTGCCATCAAGTCGATTCTGACTCATAGCAACCCCATAGAACAGAGTAGAACTACCCCATAGGGTTTCCAAGGAGCAGCTGGTGGATTCAAACTGCTGACCTTTTGGTTAGCAGCCGAGCTCTTAACCACTGCACCACCAGGGCTCTGTTTCTTAGTCCCTGGGAAACACTCATCTCTTCTCCATCTCTATAATTTTGTCATTTCAGGAGTGTTATGTAAGTGGGAATCATACAGTATGTAACATTTTGGGATTGCTTTTTTTCACTCAGTATAATTCCCCCGAGATTCATTCAAGTTGTTGTGTGTATCAATAATTTGTTCCTTTTTATCACTGAGTAGTGTTCCATGGTGTGGATGTACTAGAGTTTGTTTAACCATTCACCCACTGAAGGACATCTGGGTTGTTTCCAGTTTTCGGCTATTATGAATAAAGCTGCTGCAAACATTTGTGGACAGGTTTTTGTGTGAACATCAATTTTCATTTCTCTGGAATAAATGCTCAGGAGTGTGATTGCTGAGTTGTATTATAGTGATTATACTTTTCTAAGCAGCTTCTTCTCTTAGAAGTCAGCAGCGTAGGAGAATTGCATATTGTTGCTTTATTTCCCTCTTTTTCTACCAGTTTCTATCATTGCTAGTCTTATGTGTACATTTCTGCCCAGTTACAGAGCTGCACAGTTCCCATTATGTGTTTGATTAACTTAGTTGTAAGTTTTATCCCCATTTAATCTTTAAATATTTCTGCATTCATTGCTAAAACATGTAGACACTATTTGAAAGTATTACGTAATATCATCATACCTAAAAAAATTTAACAATTTATACTATCAAATACCTAGTCTGTGTTTAAATTTCTCTGATTGTCTCAAAAATATATATATATTTTTTTTGTTTGAATCAGTATCTGAATAAAGTTTTTTACATTGCAATTGGTTGATATGTATCTCAAGTTACTGAAATAAACAAAGTGTATATATACATATATGTATGTGTGTATATGTATATGTGTATATATGGAGCCCTGGTGGCACAGTGGTTAAGAGCTTGGCTGCTAACCAAAAGGTCAGCAGATCAGATCCACTAGCTGCTCCTTGGAAACCCTATGGGGCAGTTCTGCTCTGTCCTATACGGTCGCTATGAGTTGAAATCGACTTGACAGGAACTGGTTTATGTGTATATATATATTTATATACGTGTATATATATGTATGTATGTATATGTGTGTGTATATACATATGTATATATATGTATGTGTACAAAATTCAGTGACATAAATTACATTCACCATGTTGTCCAACCATCACCACTATCTTTTTCTGAAAATTTTTCATCATTCCAGGTAGAAACTCAGTACTCCTTAAGCAATAACTTCCCACCCTTCCTTCCTCCAATCCCTGGTAATCACTAATAAACTTTTGTCTCTATACATTTGCCTATTCTAGATATTTCATATAAGTAGGATCATACAATATTTGTCCTTTTGTGTGATTTATTTCACTTAGAATAATGTTTTTGAGGTTCATCCATGTATCAGAACTTCATTTCTTTTTATGGCTGAATAATATTTCATTGTATGTGCATACTGCATTTTGTTCATCCATTCATCTGTTGATGGACTTTTGGTTCGTTTCCACTTTTTGGCTATTGTGAATAATACTGCAGTGAAAACTGCTGTACAAGTATCCGTTTGCATTCCTACTTTCAAGTCTTTTGGGCATATACCTAGGAGTGGAATTACGGGGTCATATGGTAATTGTATGTTTAACTTTTGAGGAACCATCAACTGTTTTCCACTGTGGCTGCACCATTCTGCATTTCTACCAGCAATGGATGAAGGTTCCAATTTCTCCATATCCTCGCCAACGCTTGTTACTTTCAGTTTTTCTGATAATAGCCATCCTAGCGGGTGTTTTGGAGCCCTGGTGGCACAGTAGTTAAGAGCTCGGCTGCTAACCAAGAAGTTGGCAGTTCTAATCTACCAGCTGCTCCTTGGAAACCCTATGGAGCAGTTCTAGTCTGTCCTGTAGGGTTGCTATGAGTTGAAATCGACTCAACGGCAATGGGTTTTTTTGGTTTAGTGGGTGTGAAGTAGTGTCTGATTGTGGTTTTGATTTGCATTTCCTGTGAGTCGGAATTGACTCCACGGCAGTAGGTAACGACTAATGATGTTGAGCATCTTTTCACGTGCTTTTTGGTCGTTTATATATCTTCTTTGGAGAAATGTCTATTCAAGTCCTTTGCCCATGTTTTAATTGGGTTGTTTGTCTTTTTGTTGTTGAGTTTTAGGAGTTCTTTATATATTCTGGATATTAATCCCTTGTCAGTTATATGGCCCCCAAATACTTTATAGTTTGTCACTTCACTTCCTTGATTAAGTCCTTTGTTGCACAAAAGTTTTCAAGATGCTTTTAAGCTGTAGTTCCTTTTCCTTTCTTTTCCCCCTTGCAATTTATTTGTTAAAAAGATAAGTTTTGTTTAATTTCAATGTGTTCTGCTCACATTGTGCTCAGTCATCATAGCTTATTTTTCACAATGCAGGCTTGTCTATTTACAGCCTAGATCATTGATTATGGGACACTTCCAGAGGAGATGAACCCTAATATTGCCATTGGGTGATGGATCCTAGTAGCACACATCTGACTGTAGACCAAATATATAGAATTTCTTCTAGGCATTTCTATGGGATTCAAAACTTGGGTACGCAAGTTAGATTCAGTGGACAAGGAAATAAAAATCCATTCCGCCATAATCGTGGCTCTTAACAAGCTATTTTATAATCATGAATATGTACTTATTTGACAATTAGAAATTTCTGAATTCATTGTGGTGTATGGAGAGGGCACTACATTAAGTGTTAGGAGACCTGAGTCCTAGTATGTTCTCTGCTTCTAACTCCCTGTGTGACCTTGAACAACTCACATCCCCTCTTCAAGGCCTCGGTTTCCTCATCTAGTTAGTGTGTGGAATGGTCTTGAAGATCTTCAAGGTTCTTTACAGCTCGAACTGAAATCCGAATTGTCCTTTCAGATTCAACTTGAACTAGGTGTCATTCCAGTGATTTGACTCTGGAGGAGTGTCCTGGAACTTTTCGGATGGAGTTTTATTATGTTGGAATTTTCTTTGGTGGTCTTAGGTTGCCCTTCACGCACACCAGATTTTTAATTTGCTTTTTGGTAATTCCTGTGACCAGTCATAGGACCCCCTTCAAGCAATGAGCTTCTCCATAATACTCATGTTAACTGAGAATGAATTGGAAATCTCACATAGCAGTGAGATTCAAAGAGCAATCTTGTCTCACCCTGATGTTCATTTTCTTCTTCGCTTCATTGGGAAGCAAGTGGCATCGTGTTCCAGTGGGGCACTGGTTTGGCATCATCTGGACGGCGGTTGTGCCCTGGACAGACTCTCCCATTGTTTTTGACAGCAAAGGAACCAAGCAGAGTGACAGGTGAGGCCCTTTTTCCTTTTGAGTCTTAGATTTACTCTTTGTCAGGAAGTAGATACACAGACATGCAGAAAATGGGTAAATGGGTTTTTGCTTTTGATCTCTGTCTAACTCTCTGTTGGTTAGTCTGTTAGTTTTGTTGAAATTTTAGGTGGCCTAATGAAACAACCTTTCTTCGCTGCCAAAGTTTGGAACCTATTGAGAGATAGATGCATATCAGGTAGGTGGAGATCAAAAGAGTAGCTCTAGAGCTGTTAAAAGCTAGGTTGGAGGACATAGCTTAGGTGTGTGGAGATAATGTGTAGCAATAGTGAGCCTCTAAAATCTGAATCCCAAATTAAACTTACCTACCAGCGCTGGAGTGGTTGCATAGAATCTGCCCTGTAAGCTTACTGCCTGGCTGCAAGCACGAGGATGCACCTCTCTGTAGGCAAGCACATCCCAAAGGGAGGACCCAGAAAAGACTGTGCCTCACACTCTCAGTTCCGTCTCCCAAAAGGGAAGCAGGAGTGGGTAAGGATGTAGAGAGGGGCCAAGCATGTTCCTCCAGGAAATCTGTCTACATGGGAACATGAGGAGTAGATAATATGTGTTCTGTCCAACAGGTCTGTTGGTCGGTTTTGTTGGTTAATTGGTCTGTAAATCTTTCCCTGTTTCTCGCTCCCTCTTTCACCCTGAGTCTCATTCCTTCTGTCCCACTCTCTCTGTGTGTCAGCTCCCCTCTGCTCTGTGCTATCTTTCTGTGTAGATATCTCCATTTCCCTCTTCTTCCCCCTTTTTCCTCTGTTTGTAACCTAGTTTACTGAGGATTGGCTATAAGAAAAAACAGTATAGGAGACCTCTAACCACTCTCCTCTAGCTCAGAACAAAGGAGGGGTTTTAGAGAGTAGTAGGAAGGGGGGAGGGAGAAAAGGGAAGGTGTAAGTTGCAGTGGAAGTGTTGGACAAGGGGTTTGGAATCACTCTCATTTTTCTGACCCCTGGAGGTTCTCTTTCTCAGCTGGAGGTGGGCTTAGCTTCCCTGAAGCCCACTGGTTGAGTTGGGGAAGGGGACACTGGATGCCAGACAGGCTGTCCCCTTCACATGACATTTAAGACATTCATAATATAAACTCATACTTCCCAAACATTTTTTTCTGCATCCCAAGGTATTCACTGCTCCCTGGGCATATCCTGCATTCTTTTTCCTCTGTGCCTTTGTACAAACTGTTACCTCTGCCTGAAATGCTTTTTCCTTCCTGTTCTCCCTGGGAAGATCCTGAGAATTTTTCAAGCCCTTGTTCAGATACAGCTTTCTCAGTAAAGACTTCCCTCTTCAGCCTTCATTGCATTTTCTCCATGTGCTTGGATAGCACTTGCTCTATTATTATTGTTTATGTATATTCCCACATGCCAAGGATTATGAACATTTTAGGGGCAGGAACTGTATGCAGTATTCTACTCTATATTTTAGCACAGGACCTATAACTAGAAGGAATACAAAAGGTTTTTTTTTAAATTTGATTTAAATAACCTGTTTGGGGTCTGCTCAGGATAGAGCTAGATTGAGTTGCTTTTGGAGAATCTTTCAATTTTCATTCTTTCATCTTCTGTCTGGAACTGGAGCTGGAGCCCTGGTTATTCTCTCCTCATCTGGCCACTGGAGGCCCAGTATTTCCTCTGTAGTGAATGTGGCTGGGAGCATCTGCTCTGTGCCTTTATCATTGCACAGGACACTTGAACGTGTGAGGGCCATTTTATTAAGACACTAGTCAGTTGAATAGAAGTGTCAGAAAAAATAAGACTGCATTTCCCTACAGGTTATCAAAACTACCAGCTAGGGTTGATTTGGTAACTGCACATGGTAGCAGTTGAATGTATGAGATGTCATTGCTTCTAGGCTGACTCAGTGGATGGAACTAGTCAGAATCAACTCAACAGCAACTAACAACAACACTTACCACCACACACGCACACACACACCAGTATTTATACATGCATACACCTGTATTTATTTACTTGTCTCTCTATATTGGAAACCAGGAATTTATACTGTATTTCCAATCTAATCCACTATTACATGGTTGATGCTAGCCTTTCCCCTTTTCATGTTTGTACCTCTCCTCTTCTCTCTGTTAGTGAGAAACCTGGCTCCCTTCTCTATGATATACTTATTTGTCCAGTCTCCTTGTGTGCAACCAGTCTCCCAGCCATGCCAGCCATTGTCTTGGCCAGGTGCTGCTGACTGCAGCCTGCCTGTAACTGGCTGAGAGTTTCTCCCAAGGCCCCTGGTAGAGCTGACTGAGCGTCCCCTTTCTGCCCAACTTTTTCTGCTGTAAATGTAATTTCAAAAGTTTTTTTTTTTTTTTTTTTTTTGGCAGGCCTAGAGAATTCTAAAGTAAGATGCGTTCTTGCTGGCTCAGATCACTCAGCTTCATTAACAGGTAGGTACCGGCTCTTTCAGTTTAACATTGCCGATCAGAATTCTGAACATGACTGCCTAACATGGTGATACTGTGATACAGTGCGGAGGTCCTAGACTTTAGAGTCAGAATTCTGACTCCACCACTGGTATGATCTTAGGCCAATTACTTTACCTTTCTGAGACCATTTTCTTTTTCTTTCTTTTTTTTTTTTTTTAGTACTTCTGCCCATTTATTTGATTTGAGAATCAGTTGTAGCCACATATTTATGATGTCTTCCTTACCACTGTCTTTTTTGTTTTAATTGTGCTTTAGGTGAAAGTTTATAACCCAAGTTAATTTCTCATTCAAAAATTTATACCCATATTGTTTTGTGACATTGCTTGCAATCCTTACAATGTGACAGCATGCTTTTCCTTTCCACCCTGGGTTCCCTGTATCCATTCGTCCAGTTACCATCCCTTCCTGCCTTCTTGTCTTGCTTTTGGACAGGAGTTGCCCACTTAGTCTTGTATATTTGATTGTACTAAGAAGCACGTTCCTCATGTGTGTTATTTAAAAAAAAAATTTTTGTTTTTATTGTACTTCAGATGAAGGTTTACAGAACAAACTAGCTTCTCATTAAACAATTAGTACACATATTGTTTTATGACATTGGTTAACAACCCCATGACATGTCAGTACTCTCCCTTCTCAACCTTGGGTTCCCTATTACCACCTTTCCTGTCCCTTCCTGCCTTCTAGTTATTGCCCCTGGGCTGGTGTGCCCTTTCAGACTCATTTTGTTTTATGGGCTTGTCTAATCTTTGGATGAAGGGTGAACCTCAGGAGTGACTTCATTACTGAGCTAAAAGGGTGTCTGGGGGCCATATTCTCGGGGTTTCTCCAGTCTCTGTCAGGCCAGTAAGTCTGGTCTTTTAATGAGTTAGGATTTTGTTCTACATTTCTCTCCAGCTCTGTCTGGGACCCTCTGTTGTGATCCTGTCAGAGCAGTCAGTGGTGGTAGCCAGGCACCATCTAGTTGTGCTGGACTCAGACTGGTGGAGGCCATGGTAGTTGTAGTTGTGGTATATTAGACCTTTGGACTAATCTTTCCCTTGTATCTTTGGTTTCCCTCATTCTCCCTGACTCCAGATGGGGTGAGACCAGTGGAGTATCTTAGATGGCCACTTAAAAGCTTTTAAGACCCCAGATGCTACTCCAAAGTAGAATGTAGAACATTTTCTTTATAAATGATGTTATGCCAGTTGAGCTAGATGTTCACTGAGACCATGGTCCCCAGAGCCCTCAGCCCAGTAATTCAGTTCCTCAGGGAGTTTGGGTGTGCCTATGGAGCTTCCATGACCTTGCCTTGGTCCAGTTGTGCTGGCTTCCCCAGTATTGTATACTGTCTTACCCTTCACCAAAGTTAACATTTATCTATTGTCTATTTAGTGTTTTTCCATCCCTACTCCTCCCCTCCCTCTTAACCATCAAAGATTACTTCTTTTTGTGTGCAAACCTTTTCATGAATTTTTATAGTAGTAATCTCATACAATATTTATCTCTTTGTGATTGACTTATTTCACTCAGCATAATGCCCTCTGGATTCATCCATGTTGTGAGATGCTTTGCAGATTCATCATTGTTCTTTTATTGTTGTGTAGTACTCTGTTGTGTGTGTGTACCATAGTTTATCCATTCATCTGTTGATGGACATCTAAGTTGTTTCCATCGTTTTGCTATTGTGAACAGTGCTGCAGTGAACATGATGGCTGTGCATATGTCTATTCATGTGACAGCTCTTATTTCTCTAGGATATATTCCTAGGAGTGAGATTGCTGGATTATATGGTATTTCTGTTTCTGGCTTTCTAAGGAAGCAATGTATCGTTTTCCAAAATGGTTGTATCATTTTGCATTCCCACCAGCAGTGCATAAGAGTTCCTATCTCCCCACAGCTTCTCCAACATTTGTTATTTTCTGTTTTTTCTCATGTGTGTTATTTTTTGTTTTATAGGCCTGTCTAATCTTTGTCTGAAAAGTGGGCTTTGGGAATGGTTTTAGTTCTGAGTTAGCAGAGTGTCTAGGGGGCCATAGTCTTGGGGGTTCCTCCAGTCTCTCTGTCAGACCAGTAAGTCTGGTCTTTTTACATGAATTTGAATTCTGTTCTACATTTTTCTCCCGTTGTGTCTGGAACTCTCTGTTGTGATCCCAGTCAGAGTGGTCAGTAGTGGTAGCTGGGCACCATCTAGTTCTTCTGGTCACAGGCTGGTGGAGTCTCTGGTTCATGTGGTCCTTTAGTCCTTTGGGCTAGTATTTTCTTTGTGTCTTTGGTTTTCTTTATTCTCCTTTTCTCTGGACAGGACAGGAGCAAATAGATCTAAGATGGCTGCTTACAAGCTTTTAAGACCCCAGACACTACTCAACCAAAGTGGGATGTAGAACATTTTCTTTATGAACTATGTTATACCAATTGACCTAGATGTCCCCTGAGACTATGTGAGCCCATTTTGTAGTCTGTAAAATACTTTGTGCGTAGTTATGAAGGTTATATTAGCTAATATGTGTAAAGCACTCTTGTCAAACATAGGTTCACTTCCTCTTCCTCTGAGTTTTTCCTCTGTACAATGGGGATGAAATATCTTCCTTTCGGGGTACTGGTAATTATCAAATCATATAACTAACAGTAAGTTTATATATACCGTATTCGTATCTTATCTAACTAATCAATATAGGTGTCTAATATAACTCAGCTCTCTAGCTATTTATTCACTTCGGCTGTTTAATCTCAAAGTAATTTATTTTATTCATCTCTCTCTCTAATCCATTTCTTTATCTCTTTGTTTACTCTCTCTTTATTGATCTACTATATTTATTTGCCTGTATAACTCTTATTTATCATTCATCTGTGTATCTTTTTTCTAATTTTTGTATAGCTATATAGCTCTCTAAATCTATTTATGTATATATTTTTAGTTATGTATATATACAAATCTAGTTATGTATATACTTCTCTATATATTTCTCTAATTTATCCATTTGATCTTTTATCTGTCCATCTTTCTACCTTATTTGTTTATCTTTCTCATGATATATCCTGCTGTTTGTGTATCCATCCATTTGATACACTCAGCCAATAGTGACTGTCTCTTGGGAGGCAATGCAGACTTTTCTTGAAAGTGAAGGTTATTCCTTCCTTTTAGCCCCAGATTGCCCTGACACCTGCTGGTAGGCTGGAGACTATTGTTCTGAGATTTATTTTGGTGATTCCACTCACACAGAGCTGAATGTATTACACTTTTTAACCAAAGGGAAGTGACTTTCATACTTAGCGTTTTCAGTGTTTTAGTGGGAATTCAGGTGTGTACAGAATGTCTGTAAATTAATGGTAATGTGCATTCTTTGACATCATATTTATAGTGCATTCCAACTGAAAAGTGATTATTGTCACTGGAAAGCTCTTCCTAGAGCACAAGAGCCATGATGTGAGAGAGCTTAGGTAGTTTACAAATTCCAAACTACAGATACTTGTTATTTAATGATTGTAAAATAACAGCTAACTAAAGAAACACACCTACTTTTAGACTATGTTTCATACTAGGTGTGTATGTATTTGTATGTATATATATTTTTTATTATTTTTTGGTAAAAGTATACACAGCAAAACAAATTCTCATTCAACAATTTCTATACATAAAATTCAGTGACATTGGTAACATTCTTCAATTTGTGTCAACATTATCATTATTTCCATTTTAGTTGTTCCACTCCCATTAACTTAGTCTCACTGTCCCCCAAACTTCTCATCTATGTTTTAGAGTAGCTGTTGTCCATGTCCATTTGGTCTCATATGGATAATTTTTAAAAGAGTGTCATTTTCAAGAATCCTGATCAAAAAGGGGAAAAATGCAGAGCAGAACTTCAAATTATAATGGAATCCATACTTTCTGGAGGCCATGGAGTCTGGATGAACCCCTGAAATTATTGCCCTGAGATATTATTTAAACCTTAAACCGAAAATATCCCCTGAAGTCTTCTTAAAATCAAACACTAGTTTAGCTTACCTAGTAAAGAATGTCTGCCTTGAGCATTATGCTCTTTTAAGATCTGTCTCTATGGGACCAAACTGACACCAGCAACTTGAAAGATTAGATAGGAACCTTATGGAGCAGTGATTTGAGTTTTATGTTAATGGAGGAGCAACAACTGGGAAAAGGAGGGTGAGAATGGTTGCACAACTCGAAGAATGTAATCAGTGACACTGAATTGTACATGTAGAAACTGTTGAATTGGTGTATGTTTTGCTGTGTATATTCTCAACAGCAACAACAATAAATAAAATATTTAAAAAAGAGAGCACAGTTCTCAAGGGTGAAATTCTTTACTTTTTTTTGAAATAACAGTGATATTTTATTTTATTTTCAATTGTACTTTAGATGAGGGGTTACAGAGCAAACTAGTTTCTCATTAAGAATTAATACACATATTGTTTTGTGACATTGGTTGCCAACCCCATGACATGTCAACACTCTCCCCTTCTCAACCTTGGGTTCCCCATTACCAGCTTTCCTGTCCCTTTCTGCCTTCTCTTCCTTGCTTCTGGGCTGGCATGCCCATTTGGTCTCATTTTGTTTTATGGGCCTATTTGATCTTTGACTAAAGGGTGAACTTCAGGAGTGACTTCATTACTGAGCTAAAAGGGTGTTGGGGGGCCATACTCTTGGGGTTTCTCCAGTCTGTCAGACCAGTAAGTCTAGTCTTTTTTGTGAGTTAGAATTTTGTCCTACATTTTTCTTCACCTCTGTCTGGGACCTCTGTTGTGATCCCTGTCAGAGCAGTTGGTAGTGGTTGCAGTGCATAAGAGTTCCATATCCCTGCAGCCTCTCCAGCATTTGTTATTTTCTGTTTTTTTGTTGGGGTGAGATGGTATCTCTTTGGGATTTTGATTTGCATTTCTCTAATGGCTACTGATTGCGAGCATTTCCTCATGTATCTGTTAGCTGCTTGAATGTCTTCTTTGGTGAAATGTCTGTTCATATC